GGGCTAGGTTGCGAAGGCTGTGATGATCGAATATGACGAGCCTCTTTATTTCTGTCGACTTGAAGAGCCATGTTTTACAGTCATATAGGAGAGTCGAAGGGACGGCTGCGTTATAAACTCTGCCCTTCAGAGCGAGAGTAATGTCGCGTCTGCGCCACAGGTGGCGGAGATTGGCAAAAGCACCTCGAGCTTTTGCTATACGGTTCGTAACCTCATCTTCAATCCCACGGGTGCTAATATAGCTGCCCAGGTACTTGAATTCCTGAACGACTTCTAGCAGATCACCACCAAGCGTTAGCGCAGGGTTGGGTCCCTGCCGATCTTGGAGAAGTACTTTGCATTTCGATGGAGCAAAGCATAGCCCAAAACGATAGACAGCCAGTGCTAATCGGTCCAGTGCTGTTTGGCATGTTTGGGGGCTGTCACAGATTAGGGTAATATCGTCCGCATACTCTAAGTCAAGAAGTCGCTCACCAGGAACTAGCTCCACACCTAGGTCGTGTCCAGCGAATGCTGATTCCATAACTTCGTCAACTACTAAGTTAAACAGGAAAGGTGACAGCGGGCAACCTTGTTTCACATCGCTGGTGATACTGAAGGTTGGCGACAGTTTGCCATAAACCCTCACTCTGCCCAAACTATGCGCTTACAGCGCTTTGATATTTATCTGGCACACCTTTCTTCGGCAGACAGTGTCAAAGGGCACATCGATTGTGAGTCGAAGGCACATTTTATGTCAAGAAACACGACAACATTGGGTCGCCAATGAGCATGCCGGTGATCCAACAATTGACTCAAGGGGAAGATGTGATCGATGCAGCCCCGACCTCTACGAAACCCAGGTTGACTTCACGGATCTGACTTTCACGAGCGCCAGTCAGTCTGTGGATAACGACAGACGCAAGCAATTTAGAGGCAATTGTGATCGGACTGATCCCTCTATGATTGCCGCATTCCGAACGGGAGCCTCCCTTGAAAATTAGGACTGTGCCGGAGCGGTTCCAGTCTGTCGGGACAGTCTCCTGGTCCCAAAGTTCCGCTTGCAATTCGTTTAAATGATCTATTAGAGCAGGTCTCCCGAATTCGAAGAGGGCTGGGGGCATTCTATCTGCCCCCGCGGCCTTACGCAATTTCAACAACCTGACTTCACGTTCAACTTCTGCGCGTGAGGGCGGATCCAAGGAGACGACCCAGGGATAAGAGCACTCAATGCCCGAAAAAAGGCAATAACTTAGGTTGGTTAAATTGCCTTGCAAAGTGTTCGGCCCAACGCTGCAAGCGTTTTGACAGGCTGTGGATCGGCTGCCCACTCTCGCCGCGTATGTTCTCGCTAACACCAGGTCTCCTACTGCCTGTTTCTCGTATCAGATGGAATAACTTGCGATGATTACGAACGGTAGCGGCTCTTTCCATCTCCGAGGCTTGATCAGACCACCAAGCTTCGCGGTCTCTTCAGGCTAGCACGCAGTTTCGCCTTGAGATTTTTGCGAGCCTCATTGTATTCGTTTCCAGTTGGAATACATGGGCGAGCATCCAGAGACTGTGTAGAGACTAATGCCCAGTTTGGAAATTTGATATGGAACATGCCTGCGGATAGTAACGTTTGACGAATATGCGACCAGTGATCATCGACGGTGTTCAGTGGGCGTTTACTCAGCCCGGATGTCAGCGCATTTTGATACACGTTCAGAACATCTGGCTTCGCCAGCTGGCTGGTGTCAATCCGTTCACATCGACGTTTCGGACGTCCCTTGAAACGCACCCTCAGGTCGGCACACACGAGAGCGTGATCGGAATCCACGCTCGTGCTCCAAATCGAGCGGCAGTTTTGGACCCAGCCTCTCCAGCGGTAATTGATCGGGATGTGATCGATTTGCTTCCATAGCTCGCTCGAGGCTGGTGCGCGCCAAGTCACGCTTCTGCGAGTGCTGTGTCGAAAGTTCATGTTCGCGAGAAAGAGACAAGCATATTCACACAGCCGTAGCAATCGCTCACCGTTATCATTACGAGAGCCTGCTTCATGTTGGCCGCCCAGATGAAGCTCATCAGACAACTTTCCGAATTGAGCGTTTAGATCGCCAGCCAATACCACACTATGCGTGTTTCTTCTGTAACGAAGGAGATCGTGAAGTTGCTGATAGAAATCATCTTTTACCGAATCAGTGCTACATTTTGTAGGGGTGTAGGCCGCAACGACAAACAAGCACCGTTTGTTCCCCTGGAACGAACCAGATAATCTAACGGTGCACATCCGACTGTTGACTGGGATCCAATCGATCAGTGCAGCTTCAGCCCAGGAACTCAAAACAATGCCGACGCCAGCTTGACCGGCATTTGAAGCTGCATCATCGCCAGACAGGCGCAGTGAGAATGTGGCGCCAGTGTCGCATGTGAGGATCGCAGGATAACCACGGAGCTCGAACCGTGCAGGCGGGGTTCTGATAAATAGCAGATATCGATCGACAGGTTCTCTAGTGTGCGGGCAAGTGCTTCCTGTTGGCCAATCTGTAACAAAGTGCACACGTTGAGGCATGCCAGTCTTGGCGAGACTCGAGGACTCCAAAGGGAAACGGATGAACTGACGTTGTCCGCTTGGTTGAACATGGACTTGTCGACTGGATTGGAGCAACGCCCTGCGACTGTGTGTGAGTTGAAACTAGAAGACAAGCGACTATTGAAGCAAGGTGAAGGACGTCCAAGAGTTGAGGGATTGAAAATGGGGGGGATAAAAGTAAAGTTGGAGCGGGACGATAAGGATGAAAAAGCGCAAGAAGGGGGATAAGAAGACGGGAAGGTATCTAGGGAAGTATCTAATTTCTGAAGAACCATTTGGCTTTGTGGGGTTTGGATTTGTCTTACTCATATTCTCTAACTGATGCATCTTGTCTAGGGCCAATTTAAGCTGTGACCGTGAAGAGTCTTTCTGTGTCTTAGGTTGAATGGCTTTATTCGCTTTATCTTTGCAAACAGCGACTGCTGTTTTCGTTCTCTGACTCTCGACGCAGGCATATGTTCTTTTTGGGAACTGTGTTCCCCAGGTAGCAGATGCTCTGGGGAAGCGGCGGAATGATTTCGACTACAATTTATATTTTGGGTCGTTGAGCCAGACGTAGTAGGTGATGGACGGAGAGCGGATGTTGTTTCATTTTCTTGTATCTTAGGTATGGGTTTTGAAATCCTTTGCGTCTTGGACTTGGTTGCGGTTTGTGTTATTCTAGCTGTCCTTGAAGTGTTGGCAGTGGATACCGTGGCATATGTCTTGGACTTATCCTTTAGCCCATTATTATTCACACTGGGCAGCGGTGTTTCTGCCAACCTAGTGGAGGAGGCGCGGCTTCTTTTACCTTTGGGTGTAGGATAACCAGACCCGGGCAAATTCACTAATGACACGGGTGTCTCGCCATCAGAGTGGGACACGGATTGTGCGGAAGCTGTACCTATACTGAAAGGGTGAAAGTTCATCAAGTTTGTCGATGACCACTCATCATCATCATCATCATCATAAACAGCAGTACATCAGCCATTTGAACTGATGCTTCTCTGCCATACAACCATGAGGACCTATGAAATGAAGAATAAGGAGAGGGAGAGAAGGGGGACTTACTTGAAAACCTTAATGCCCTAAGCAAACATTCAGGGTCAAGGCGCCTACATCTTGTGTAGACAACATACCGTCACAAACAGCTGGCTATCGTGCAAAGATAAGGCGGCATCGGCGAGACAGCTTCCTTGCGGCTTTCACTCTCACGCGTCATAATCAGCCATTATCCCGTAGATAACTCAGCACCAAACACACTTTAAACAGACAATCCGATTAGGAGACGGCAGCAGACGCGCCACTGGTGTCGGTTGCGAGCCATGTCCTGTTAAGTCTCGAGCCAATCACAACGATGACTACTGCCAGACACGAGTTGCAGTGGAAGCTGATGCGTTTGGACGCAATGTGCTGAAGACAGTGGTACAGATCATAATCAATGTTACAGCACACTACGTGCGTCCTTCTTTTGCAGAGGGCGCAGTGGACGGTCTTTGAACGCCAGGTGCACCTTTATCGCAGTCTACGCACTTGGATGTCGTATTTTCTGGGAGAAAACTTTGACAACGGTCAAGTTTTGTTATTCGTGTTTATGCAAACACTTCTCTTCGCGATATATTCATCTGAAATACTTGAAAATATAGCACGCCAAAAGATCGGGTTATCGCGTCAAGGTCAGATCAATACAAACATCAGATCGTACACCAGACATATGTTACATATTTGACCACACTGCCAGTTCCCGACAGCAGTCCCCGAAGCTGCAGTGTTGCCTTTTGAGGCGACCGTTAACTTTTCTCTGATCACACTATTTGTCGTGGCATCTGTAACCTATCACACCGTGCTCCTCAGTTGTTTCGTTCACCATCAGATCGTAGATCAGACGCATGCTACATATTTACCGACCCTGTCTGCTCCCGACAGCAGCCCCCTGGAGGTGGATCGTCGTCCTTTGAGGCGATCAATTACCTTCCTGTGACCATACTGCTGGTCGCGGAATGTCTCGAGTCTAGCACACGGCGCTCCTCACTGGTTTCGCACATTAACAGATCGTCAACCAGACGTACATTACATATTCGGCGATCCTACCTGCTCCCCCCTCACCAGTACTTGGAGCTGGATCCTTTCCACTGAGATTATCATTGGCTTTCCTGTGACCACGCTGCTTGTCGCGGAATCTCTCGAACCGAGCACACTGCACTCATCAGTTGTTCTTCTCATCAGCGGACCGAGACCGACTAGGGCTACTGTAGGAGCTGAGGACAGCGCCTGTCAACAGGAGGAATAATGTAGCAGGTCCGAGCATGACCTTGCGGTGATTCATAAGGTCAGAGATCGTTATACCTTCGGTATACAGCCATTGGTTCTTCCTTTTCCCTTTATTTCCACCTTCGGTTTACTTCGGTCTTTTGCTAGCGGGTTGTGATAAGAGCAACCAGCCACCTACGAGGTATTTGCTTTTCATTGCAGCTTCTCAAATCCATTACGACCTACGCGCACGCTGGGAACGGAAACCCTCGGAATCCACGACCGGACGTATACTGCAATTGTAACGGATAAGTGTTCTTTCGAGCTATGTGCGCTTCCGCTATGGAGTACATTCTAGCATATGCAGCCTCTGAACTTGTCAATTTTCGCCTGATTGAGTTCAGTTCACTTTGTGAACTTTTAAAAATCTCACTGGATAAAACGATAATTCGGCATAGTCCTGATTATTGGTCTCAACCATATGTCCCGGTTCATCTGGAGAACGACCGAATTGCCACACTTCTGGTGGAGCGGAGTGTGCTGATCAAATCCGTGTACCATGTGTGGTGCAGCGCTAGTAGCCTTCCAGAGCTGATCCATAAGGTACGGCAACAGTCACATGCATTACTCATTAGATACCAGATTTGCCAGCAGAACGGACTGACAAATATATCAACTCCTTCGGGTCATACAAACTCATAGTTAGCTCGGCCAACAAGAAGCTGTCTCATGAAGAAAAGCTGGACATTATTGAGGCCGTGCTGAATGCGCACCGCACCCTGAATGCATCAGTTTCCCTCTGCAACCCTGACGTAAGCAATAAATTCTATTGTCTGCCTTTTTATTGCCCAAATCTTTCCACCACGAGGCGGTTGGTACCACCCGACTGCAGGCCACTGCATGGCATCGGTATCAACGCAAAGCTCAGAAAATACCTTGACTGCTTTTACTATTTGTTAGATCCGCGGAGTTGACTGCCGAACCTGCGGTCCAATAGTGCAGCCCCAAACGCATTTGTATGAATCTGGCCTAATGCATTAAGCAAGTGTAAATCTGACAGCTTAAACATTCCTTAGTGGAAGCATCGACTCTAACCTGTAAGTTCCAGTCGTTCACTGCTCGGGTGGATGGTGATCTCTGAACGGACATGGTACGTCTTATGTAAGTCAGATCTTTACGATGACGACGGTAGTTGAGAGAGAAGAAAAATCATGAGTTGGAGTTGATCAGAATGAGACAGATCCATAAGGACGGGTTTATTTCGAACCTCACCTCCGCACTTTTTCACTCAGGTCGCACTCGAACTTAGTGTCTGGATAACTTGCTGGTAAACCATACTCTGAGATGGAGCACACTTGTGAGACGAGCAGAAGTTTCGAGTTCAAGTGGAACAGGAACAGTGAGAGAATCCCATGAATGTTCCATTGAGTGAAATCGACTTTGCTCCTGAGTAGGTTTCGACGATTCGATGTCTTGAGGTGTACAATTGGCACACATGTATCACTCCGCGGTCAACCAACCAAAGCTTACGTGTCTCGCACCAGGTGTGCCCGCTGTTCCGGTCACGCGCAGTAGAAAGAAAGCAAAACAGTAAGGAGGAAACAGAAGAATAAACTGAAATAAAACAACAGCGTGAAGTAAGCCCTATAAAATAAGCTAGTATATATGAAAATTCACAATAAATGCTAGGCGGGATAGCCTATGGTGCGCTGAGGCTGGTGGTGACTGGAACCTGACAGATAGTCTATCCACTGCTGCTACTGTTGTGCAATAGGCTCATGTCCTGGACGCTTCGTGGCGACCGCTGGATGGAAGTTGGGTTACGTCCGCCCTGCTAAGATCCAAGACACCCGCTGCCTTTGGCTGAGGACCCGAGTCGTTCTCCTGTCAGGTGTGGGCGCCCTGCCAGTATCCTAGTCCATCCTCTTCGGTGGTTGGGAAGTGGTCGATGGCCCTCTTCCCGTAAAACCTAGCCATGGGAGACAACAGATCTACGGGTTACAAGCTCACAGCTCAATTGGCGTAAAGCACGAGCGTCACGCACTGTCTCTGACGGTGGGAGGGCACATCCGGGCGTTCAATGGTTTGCTGCTACCCGCCTCAAGCCAAGCAGCCCCTGGTTAAATTGGTGCAAACCCATCAAAACCCACCTGCGTCTGGCCGTGGTCGCAGGTGTATCCTACTACGGTTGCAAAATATACATAAATCGTTCCAGTACCTCCAGCGCTGCGTGTGACGGCCGTCAGGCAGATCCCAATATGTCTCTGCAATCACATTCCCGAGCTGGATCTGCTCCCCACTGCCTTGTGCATCAGGCTATTGAGCCAAAGGCTCAGGTGGGGGCTTGTACCAATCTTGACAAAGCGCTTTGCACTTGGGTGGTGAAACTTTCCTGAACAATAGTTACCAGAATCTTGCCGATCCCCGCCTTCGTATGTGGGCTTCACGATGCCGACTTTCCAACCAGGTGGCAGGAGGCCAACTATAAGAGAGCAGAGCAGAGAGGTTCAGCGATCTACTCGGCCCGGGTCTTGATGAAAGGGTGATACAAGCCATCGGACTCGACGAGGAATTAGCATCAGTTCAACAAGTAGCTTGGACGCCATCTCTGTACTGATTTCCATAGACACGAGGGAATGGAAAAGGTAATGGATGCACATATTCCCAAGAGAAAGGTATTTCAATCGAGTATACTGAAGACTACAAGGCAAGTAGTTCAGTTTTAGCATTGTCATCTTGGGATACGTCTTGACGAAAAGCGGTGGAGTAATACCATTGCCGACTTTGGTAGTTCGTTTTACATAAGAGAAAAGCTTTTCAGGACCACTTACTGACTATTTAACCAAAGTCCGTTAAGCTGTCGCCTCTCACGTTTCTAACAGTTTTGCAAAGAAAGTGGAAAAACATTAGCAGTACGACTGTACGTAGTACTGACGCTTCGATGCCGCGCAACCACCACCACCGGTCCCACGGGGGCTAAGGATACTGCGAGGGTCTCCCTGTCCCTACGCTCCCTCGAACCCACCTGCTCAGATTACATGGCAGACTTGTGATCCTTAAGGCTACATTCAAGTAACTGTTTTCTACTCAAGATAACCTGAAGCTGACTGGTTAACCTTGAATCTGTCCCACAGCTTTATACTTTCATTCATCGGGGACATCATCATCATTATCATCATCAACAGCAGTACATCAGCCATTTGAACTGATGCTTCGCTGCCATACAACCATGAGGACCTATGAAATAAAGAATAAGAAGAGGGAGAGAAGGGGGACTTACCTGAAAACCTTAATGCCCTAAGCAAACATTCAGGGTCAAGGCGCCTACACATTGTGTAGACAACATACCGTCACAAACAGCTGGCTATCGTGCAAAGATAAGGCGGCATCGGCGAGACAGCTTCCTTGCGGCTTTCACTGCCACGCGTCATAATCAGCCATTACCCCGCAGATAACTCAGCACCAAACACACTTTAAACAGACAATCCGATTAGGAGACGGCAGCAGACGCGCCACTGGTGTCGGTTGCGAGCCATGTCCTGTAAAGTCTCAAGCCAAGCACAAGGTGAGTCACGTGGACTCCAACCCGGAAGGCGAGACGGACCAACGGCACCCAGTTTAGTTGTCAGTGACTTCATTTCCCGCTGCCAAGTCAACTTCTGTCCACCTCGAGTCTTGCGCCATCCTACACCTGGTAGACTGAACAAGGCCCTCCTAGGTAAGCGGTGACCAGGCATGCGTAGCACGTGCCCGAGCCAACGCAACTTATTCAGTGCTATCTGTTGTTCTAGGGAGCTAGCATGATTATCACCACCTAGTACTCGCCTACGCACATCATCGTTGCGGACACGCTGGTGCCATCCGACACCAGCAATGCTTCGCAAACAACGATGATCAAAGACTTGAAGGCGCCTCAGATCTTCAGACCGAAGGGGCCAAGTTTCACTACCATAGAGCAGAACGGCCCTCACTGTGGCCTTGTATACACGGCCTTTCAGGCGGAGGGAAACTCCCTTCTGTCGCCAAAGATGCCGCAGGTTCAAGAAGGCAGCTCTGGCTTTTGCAATGCGTGAGCTCACGTCAGTTTCTATGCGCCCATCATTGCTGATGCAGCTGCCAAGATAAGTGAATTGATCAACCACCTCGAGTTCCTCGTTAGCAAGCGTCAAGGGGTCATCAAGTGGCTGGTGGTCCTGCAGCAACACTTTGCACTTTGAAGGTGCGAAGTGCATACCAAATAATGGGACCACTCTGGATAGGCTATTCAGGGTTGACTGTGCCGCCTCAACATTGTCGAAAAGCAAGACGATATCGTCCGCATAATCTAGGTCAACTAACCTTTCACCAGGCAGCACTTCAACGCCTACATCATGAGATTCCGCAAGGGAACACTCCATGATAGAATCCACGACGAAATTGAACAAAAACGGGGAAATCGGACAACCCTGACGAACGCCACTTGTAGTCGAAAAGCTATCCGATAGGGCACCATATACCCTGACGCGGCCTGTAGTGTTCGAGTATAGAGCACGAAGGATGTTCACATATTTCGTGGGAACACCTTTTCGCGCAAGTAATTCGAACAGAATCGATCGATCGACTGAATCGAACGCACTCTTAAAATCGAGGAACACAGCTATTGTCGGTCTGCGGTATGCGTGGCGCTGCTCTAGCACCTGCCGCAAAGTAAATATATGGTCTATACAGCCACGTCCTGGGCGAAAACCGGCCTGCTCTTCCCTAATCCGAGATTCCCGTTCTGCAGTGAGGCGACGAACGATAATCGAGGCCAGTAATTTTGTTACAATTGGCGTTAGGCTAATACCTCTGTGGTTCGAACAGTCTGTGCGACTGCCCTTCTTGTATATTGCCACTATAATCGATTCGCTCCAATTAGCCGGGACACTCTCTTCGTTCCAGATACGTTCGAATAGGGAGGTCAGTGCTTTGCAGAGGACCTCACCTCCATCCTTAAATAGTGCAGGTGGGAGGGAATCCGGGCCAGCGGCACGAAAACGATTAAGGGCTGTGATCGCGTTTCGGACCTCGGCCTCCGACGGAGGCTCTAAGCTAACCGTCCATGGCACGTCCTGCATCACCTGAGTAGGAAGAGGTCCGGGAGCAGGGGGCCAGCTGAACTGATGTTCAAAGTGTTCAGCCCAACGAGCCATACGGCGCTCCTTATTGTGTATCAGCGCACCCGCGCTGTCCCTGATTGTCTCACTGACGCCTGGTTTTCTGGGACCAGTGGTGCGGATTAGCTGGAAGAGCTTGCGGTAATTGCCTACTGCTCCTGCCTCCTCTATTTCTTGAGCCCGACTGGTCCACCAGGCTTCCTTGTCAGCACGTAGGCTCTGCTTTAGTTCACGCCTAATAGCCCGTCTGGTCACATTGTGTTCAGAACCAGCCGGGAGGTGTCTTCTAGATTCCAACAGGTTCACGGACCTCTCGGATATCCAGTGACTGGTGCGGTGACGACTGATAGTGCCACAAACAGATGCTCCTGCATCGTGCATAGCGGCCGAGATTCTATTCCACTGAAGTTCAGTGTCATTGGGACAAGACAGCGAGAGTTCGCTATGCAGTGCTTCTTGATAGGCTTGCCTGACAGAGGGCTGGGACAATTTCTCCGTTGCCAATCGGGGGAGACGCTTTGTGCGCCTTCCGGTAAAGTTCATGGAGAAACGACAGCGCACCAAGGCATGATCAGAGTCGACACAAGTACTCCAGTACGAGCGGCAATCCAGAATGGAACCGCGCCACCTGTAACTTATGGCTATGTGGTCAATTTGGGTCCATCGCTGGCCAGCTA